ATGCTACCTAGCCAATTCCCATACTTTTCTTGCAAACTCCTACTTGAACCTCTTCCTGGGTTAAGGAGCCATCTGTATAGATACACTATTTAGAACAACCTTTCATGCGCTCAGTCAGGGCTTTCAGGTCTTTTTTAATATTCTCTATCTATCCACTTATCTATTATTTCCTCTTCTTTACTCTTTACCACAACATCATGTATTTCTCGTTCTCTTTCTACATTGCTAATTGTGTCTTTGCCCTGTCTGTATACTAGATCAGCACACTTTATTTCACACAAAACTCTATCTTCTCGCTTTTTGACCAGCCTTCTATTCAGTGCATGTTTAGGACTTTTAAAAGCTTTAAATATCATGCATTCTCCACTTTTTCCTACTTGATCTTGCGTACAACCTTTGCATTGTTCTATTTCATTCTCGTCTGGTTTTGTATTTTTTTTTTTCTCCAGTACTCAATCTAATGGGATTTCTTTCGTTTTTTGTTGGCTCTAACTTTCATAGCTGCAGTGTTTCTGCACCGTTTTTAAAGACTATTAATTTAAATTTTCGTCTGTCTTCTACAATCATATTTAGCTCTGGTTTTAGCGCCAAAATATTTCTTTCATTCTGCTTGAACGCTTCTTTTAACTCTCTTGTACCTATATTTGCCAGGCACATTTCTTTTAGCTCCTTCAACCAAATTGGTTTTTTCCCTGAACCCTTTTGGTTTTTCAGATTTTTTAAACGCTCTCATGACAGCATGTACATGCTATTTGCATCAAATAACTGCTCTAAAAAAAAAAGTTGTAACAATTTTTTTTTCTTTTAAAAAACTCTTTACATCTCTTTTACTTAAAACCTTACCTATCTCGGTGCCTTGTTGAATGACTTTTAGACTTTCCTCCCAGACGCTACTACTAAATGTGATACCAATCTTTCTTGCCTCTTTAACAACCCTGACAGACATGTTGTAGGTATCTACTATTTCATTAAGTCTTTCTTTTTCTAGGCTCGTGATCGCGCTAATATATCATCAGCGAATTATATAAATATAATCTTACGTAAGTTATTACAGCCCGAAAACTTGCGCAAGAATTACGAATCGATGCGAAATCTTTCGCAATTTTTAATTACGGAATATTACGAAATACATATGTAAAAAAATTACGCAATATTATATCACAATAATTCAAAATAAATCGCAACAATGCACATATCAAAAACTAATGCGTGCAGGAGGTAATATTTTGATATTTTCGTATTGTTTCGCAATATTTTGAATCTTTTCGCATTGTTTCGCAATATTTGGCAAATTTTCGCAAATTTTTAAAATTTTTTAAAAAATAAACAAACGATATACATATTCACATAATCATGCTTTTTTACAGGTTTTCGCTTTATTTTGCAAGGTTTCGCAATTTACTATAAAATTTTACATTTTTTTATTTATTATTATTTTTTATTTATTATTATTATATATTATACATATTATATTATATATTATATTTTAATTATTATATATTTTTTACAGTAATGTTTTTACATTATTATATATTATTTTAACTACTTTCGCACTTCTTCGCATCTAATTCTATCACTATATACAAAAAACTAGCCCTACACCCTTATTTTCGTTCACTTATAGTTAGCTATTATCTTCGCTTCTTTGTTTTCTATTGTCTTCGCTTTGACTACTTCTTTTGTTTTGGCTATAAACTTCGTTTCGTACTCTTTTTCTAAAAACTTCAAAATAAAAAACATTTCTTAGAAGTGTTGGTGTTCTTGCAAATTGCCGAGGAAAGTCGCAAAGGTTCGAAGGTGTTAGAAATAAATAAACTAAAATAAAAATTAAAAAAATAAGTAAAAAAAAAAACAAAAAAACCAAAAGTGTAAGCAAACTAATAAAAAAAAATAAACGAAGCCCAAATCTTTGTAAGAGTTCGCGTTCTTGCAACTTCTGAAATTGTGAAAACTGTGTTAATGTTTTTGCAAAATGCCAAAAAAGTCACAAAGTGCCGAAAAAGTCTGGGTTGTTTTTTTTGCGGAAGTAAGAGTTCTGTTCTCACAAAGTGCTGAAATAAAATAAATTAATAAAAAAAATTTTAAAATAAAACAAAAAAAAACAAAAACAAAAAACACGAAACGAAAAAATAAATGACGCGAAACCTTGCGAAAATTTGCACAAACTTGCAAAACCTTGCGAAAACTTGCGAAAACTTGCACCTAACTAAATCATTTCTCTAAAGAAGCGTTCTTGGTGTTCTTGAAAGTGTCGGAAGTCTGAGTAAACATGCGCAAGGTTTCGAAAAGTTGTATGTCTTCTTGCAAAGGTGCTGAAATAAAAAATAAAATTAAAAAAATTAAAAAATAAAAAAAATAGAAAATGAAAACAAAAAAATGAAACGAAAACAAAAAATGAAACGAATGAAACGAAATAAAAACAAAAAAGCGAAAAAAAACAAAATAGAAGATCTAGTTATAAACAAAAGATCTAATCCAATCTTGTAGTACAGAATTTGAATATCATTGAACTATTTCGAACTATTTCAAAAAATCAGTCTAATGCGCGATCCAGGTTACAGATCTACTGATCCTGATCCAGCTTGGTTTCCTAGTCCTAAAATATTTTGAAAGGGATCAAAATATTTCGTAACCTATTTCGAAATATTTCGAAATTACTTTCGTGATATTTCGAAAATTTGATATTTCGAAATATTTCGAAATATATTACGTAATATTTTGCTTATATTACGGTTCGTAAGATCTTACGTAAGATTACGCTATTATAAATTTGCTGATG